ACTCCTGTCTCATAAGCCTTTAATTAACACTTGATTTAATGGAAAAATTATTAAGCTTAGCTTACGAAAGGTTGTGACCTGGGTGAAGAATTCGTGGGATAAAATCACTGATAACTGTGCTGCTGATGTACTACAAGCAGGCTGCATGGACAAGAAATGCTCCTTTAAGGAGAGCTCTGTTGCTAGACATGTAAAATTAGAGCCAGTGGTTCTATAGGAAATGAAGTCACAAGAAATTCATGCTAATATTTGGGGTTTAGAGGGTTATGACAATGTTCCAGAAAAATATGACATGACTGTATTTAAATAAATGTAGATTATTTTACATGAATAAGTATAGATTGTTGTACAAGAAAAAAATAAAACATCCACTGAAAATAAGCCCAATTGCATCTTTGGAGCAAACCTTGCTACTGTATAAGACCTGGTCTTATTTTGGGAGGAAATACATTATCAGAGATTTATCAGAGCTTCAGAGGACTGGCCAGGGATATAGCTCAGTGGCACAAGTGCCCACCTGGCAAGCACAAGACCTTGAGTTCTATTATTGGTACCCACCCCCCAAAGAAAGACTCAGAGAACTAATGTGTTCTCATCAAAATAAATTTTAAAAATGTTTACACTTAGAGAAATCATAAGCTGATGAACACTAAAGATAAAGAGAAGGTCTTAAAAAATAGTCAAAGAGACAAAACCAATTACTATATCTGCAAAGAAATAACAGCTACCTTTTCGGTAGGACCCATGAAGATATTGTCAGACCAGTAAACGCTGAAAGTAAGACCTGGACACCAAACCTCTTTAAACAAACTTAAAGGATGCGCTGGGGCCCAAAGGAAAGTGGTTGTTGAGGGAGGTCAGCATTGTAAGAAGGACTGATGAAACAAGACGTTAATAAGTATATAGATGTTTTTAACTAGCTCTTTATGGAACAAAATAATTGTAGCAATATTGAATTGAGAAAAGATAATTGCGGCATATAAATCTTGAAAAGGAAGACCTTTAATATTAGATTTGTGAAGCAATATTAAGACCTCCTGTTATTGCCACTCAAGGAAAATACAAACCAGGAAAGAGAAGAAGGTTGATGTAGTTAAAAATTCTTTATTTGGAACAATAAGAGACAAAAAAAGAGAAAAAATGAAAAGCACAAAAGGCAGAGCAAATAGCACAAAATAAGAGAAAAATAGAACCGAATATATTAGTATATGCAAATAATCGGACTCAATGATGCCTTTCTTTTTTTTCAGTGATGCATTTAAAAGACAAATATTGATTAGATTTGAAAAAGAAAATTCAAAATCCATATGCAGATTCTAAGATGCATATCTAAATATTGAGGATGCAGAAATGTGTAAAGTAAAAGTTTGTTTCTAAATATATCAAAGAATATCTTGAAAAAAACTGGTACTCACCAAAAGGGACTCTGAAGCAAAATCAATACTGGAGGAAAAAGAGGACAAGGATCATTATTTGATTAAAAAAGGTTAATCAACACAGAAGATATAGCCCTTATATGCAATTTATAACCTCAAAATATATTAAGGAAAATTTAGGAGATGCAAAGAAAAAGAGACAATCCTACCATTACAATGAGAGATTTTTTTTTTATTTTAGAAATAAAAGGGGGAAAATACTAACAGATCGACAACGTTTTACAAAATAGCAAAGGATCAGTACAGACATTACAGAGTT